GTATTATTTTTCGGAAATTCTAAACCATAAATACAAAAGTATGTTGTTTTATAAAATTTAAGTAACATTTAACATGCAAAATTTTGAGGTAACGTCAGAAAATTGTTGCTGCGGATGAATTTTGGTTAGCGTCTCCGAGATTCTTTCAAACTACTTCAAAAACCAGACACAAGAGATTTTTTCGATTTGTCGATTTCTCTGTTTTGATTTTTTCAATGTTTCGATTTTTTGAATTTTCTGTTTTTCGACTTTTTTCCAGTTGTTCATTTTTTCAATATTTCAATTTTTTATGGAATTTTAAACTTTTTTCGAATTTTCCATTTTTTAATTTTTCTATTTTTCGACTTTTCGATGATTCGCTCTCTCAGTTTTTTATTTTTCAATTTTTCGGTTTCTCGGTTTTTCGAATATTCGATTTTTCGGCTATTCCATTTTTCGATTTCGCCATTTTTTAAGTATCAATTTCTCATTTTTTTTATTTTTCGGTATGTATTGGAATTTTCCCATTTCGATGTTCTGATTACTCAATAGATTTATCAGTTATTTAAATCTTCAATTTTAATTTTTTCGATTTTTCAGGTTCGCGGTTTTTCAATTTTTTGATTTTTAAAATTTTTTAAGCTTTGAAATTTATCAACTCTTCATCATTTCTATTTTTTGACATTTCGGTTTCACAATTGATTAATTTTCAATTTCTCACTTTGTAGATTTCTCAATTTTTCATTATTTTAGTTCTGGGATTTTTCAATTTTTTAATTCTTCAATTTTTCGATTTTTCAATTTCTGTATATGTATTAAGTTTTTCCATTTTTGATGTTTCGATTTCTGAATTTTCGATGTTTCAATTTTACGAATTTGTGGAGTTTTAATTTAAATTTTTCAATTATTCAAATTTTTCCATTTTTCAGTTTTTCAGCGTTCTGTTTTTCGACTTTTTTCAGTTTTTCATTTTTTCGATATTTCAGTTTTTTTATTGATTTGATTTTTTTCCGACTTATCGATTTTTAATTTTCCTATTTTTCGACCTTTCGATCATTCGATTTCTCAATTTTTTGATTTTCAAGTTTTTTGTTTCTTTAATTTTTCAGTTTTTCAGTTTTACAAGGTTTTTATTTTTCAATTTTTCGATTTCGCCATTTTTCGGCGATGGATTTTCGATATTTCAATTTTCGGATTTTTCAATTTTTTAATTCTTTAATTTTTGGATTTTTCAAATTTTCGATTTCTCATTTTTTATTTTTCGGTTTCTCGATTTTCCGGTTTTTCAATATGATGTATTAAGATTTTCCAATTTTGATGTTCCGATTTCTCAATTTTCAGTTTTTCAGTTATTCAAATCTTCAATTTTTCGATTTTTCAGCTTCATTGTCTTTCAATTTTTTGATTTTTGAAATTTTCTATTCTTCATCATTTCTAGTTTTCGACATTTTTACAATTTTTCAGTTTTTCAATTTCTCAATTTTTCGATTCTGTAAGTGTTTGATTTTTCAATTTTTTAATTTTTAAATTTTAGATTTTTCGTGTTTTCGATTTCTCTATTTCTGGAAGTTTCAATTTTGAAATTTTTTGATTTTCCGATTTTTCAATTTTTCAATTTTGCGAATTTTCAGGTTTTTAATTTTAATTTTTCAATTTTTTAATTTTTTCAATTTTTCGATTTCTTTAATCTTCATTTTGTTCAGCTTTTCTCTTTTTCGACTTTTTTCAGTTTTTCATTTTTTCAATATTACAGTTTTTTATGGATTTTGGATTTTTTTGACTTTTCAATTTTTTATTTTTTTATTTTTCGACCTTTCAATGATTCGATTTCTCAACTTTTGATTTTCAAGTTTTTTGTTTCTTTAATTTTTTAGTTTTTCATTTTTACAGGGTTTTGATTTTTCAATTTTTCGATTTCGCCATTTTTCGGCTATGGATTTCTCAATTTTTCGATATTTCAGTTTTCGGATTTTTCAATTTTTTGATTCTTTAATTTTTGGATTTTTCAAATTTTCGATTTCCCACTTTTTTATTTTTCGGTTTCTGGATTTTCCAGTTTTTCAATATGATGTATGTATTAAGATTTTCCAATTTCGATATTCCGATTTCTCAATTTTCAATTTTTCAGTTATTCAAATCTTTAATTCTTCAATTTTTCGACATTTCGATTTCACAATTTTTCAGTTTTTCAATTTCTCAATTTTTCGATTGAGTGTTTGATTTTTAAATTTTAGATTTTTCGTGTTTTCGGTTTCTGTTTTTCAATTTTTCGATTTCTCTATTTCCGGAAGTTTCAATTTTGGAATTTTTTGATTTGCCGATTTTGCAATTTTTCAATTTTGCGAATTTTCAGGTTTTTAATTTTAATTTTTCAATTTTTTCATTTTTTCAATTTTTCGATTTTCTAAATTTTCATTTTTTCAGCTTCTGTTTTTCGACTTTTTTCAGTTTTTCATTTTTTCAATATTACAGTTGTTTATAGATTTTGGATTTTTTTGACTTTTCGATTTTTATTTTTTTTTTAGACCTTTCAATTATTCGATTCTCAATTTTTTTATTTTTTAGTTTTTTATCTTTTAATTTTTCAGTTTTTCATTTTTTCAGGGTGTTGATTTTTCAATTTTTTGGTTTCTCGGTTTTTCGAATATTCAATTTTTCGGCTTTCCCATATTTCGATTTCTCCATTTTTTGACTATGGATTTCCCAATCTTTTGAAATTTCAGTTTTGGGATTTTTCAATTTCTTGACTTTTCAAATTTTCAATTTCTCATTTTTATTTTTCGATTTCTCGATTTTCCGGGTTTCAGTAAGTATTAAGATTATCCAATTTCGTTGGTCCGATTTCTCAATTGTCGATTTTTCAAATATCTACTCAGATCTTCAATTATTCAATTTTTCGAATTTTCGGTTTCTCTATTTTTCGATTTATCGATTTCTCGACTTTTCGATTTTTCAGGTTTTCGATTATTTAAGTGTTTGATTTTTCAATTTTTTTATATTTTAAATTTTCGATTTTTTATGTTTTAGGTTTCTCGATTTTTCTATTTTTGGAAATTTCAGTTTTGGAATTTTTCGATTTTCAGTGTTTCAATTCTGCGAATTTTCAGGTTTTTTTATTTTATTTTTTCAATTTTTCGATTTTTTCAATTTTCAGTTTTTCAACTTTTCTGTTTTTCAACTTTTTTGAGTTTTTCATTTTTTCAATATTTCAATTTTTTATGGATTTTGGATTTTTTTGACTTTTCCAATTTTTTAATTTTCCTATTTTTCGATATTTCAATGATACGAGTTATCAACTTCTTGAATTTTCAGTTGTTTGTTTTTTAATTTTTCAGTTTTTCAATTTTTCAGGGTTTTGATTTTTCAAATTTTCGGTTTCGCGGTTTTTCGATTTTTCAATTTTTTTATTCTGTAATTATTCGATTTTTCAACTTTTGGAATTTTCGATTTCTCAATTTTTTTATTTTTCTTTTTCAAATTTTCAATTTTAGGTATCTAAGTTTTCGATTTGTCGATTTTTCTAGTTCTCGATTAATACGTTTTCGACTTTTCGCTTTCTCCATTTTTCAACTTTGCGGTTTCTCGATTTTTCGACTTATCGATTTCTCGACTTCTCGATTTTTCAGTTTTTCGATTCTTTATTTGATTTTTCAATTTTTTGGTTTTTCAAATTTTCGATTTTTAAATTTTCAGTTTTTCATCTTTTCTGTTTTTCGACTTTTTTCAGTTTTTCAGTTTTTCAATGTCAGCTTTTTAAGGATTTTTGAATTTTTTTCGACTTCAATTTTTTAATTTTTTTGTTTTTCGACCTTTCGATGATTCGATTTCTCGAGTTTTTGATTTTTCAGTTTTTCAATTTTTCAGAGTATTGATTTTTCAATTTTTCGGTTTCTCGGTTTTTTTTGAATATTCGATTTTTCGGCTTTTCCAGTTTTAGATTTCTCCATTTTTCGACTATGGATTTCTCAATTTTACGATATTTCAGTTTTGGGATTTTTCAATTTTTTAATTCTTCAATTTTTCGATTTTTCAATTTGTCGTTTTTTATTATTTTTCGGTTTCTCGATTTTCCGGTTTTTCAGTATGTATGTATTAGGATTTTCCAATTTCGATGTTCCGACTTCTTAATTTTCGATTTTTCAGTTATTCAAATTTTCCATTATTCAATTTTTCGTTGTTTCAGTTTTGGAATGTTTCAATTTCTCGATTTTTCGATTTTTCAGTGTTTCAGTGCTTCAAGCTTTAAATTTTTCGGTGTTTCGGGTTTTTAGTTTTTCTTTTTATTTGTAAACTCACTTAAATATGTTAGTTATAAATAAATTTTATTATTATTGACATAACATACACTTTTGATTTTTGTTTGCAAAATCTAGATTCCTATTGTAAAAAATCAAGGTGGATCCATAAACCACAAGTATCGGGTATCGGTAAATTACCTATAAAATAAGTCTCGTAGTTTCGAGGGATATCTGCCTAATAAATATCGACAGAGACGGAAACTGTAGACCTATTTTTTTCATTCTCTATGGGCCATGAAACGTCAAAAAAGCGACAGAACTTAATTGTGATAAACATAAAAAACAAGCACTTATTGTCTGAAAAAAATGTCTTAAATTCTATATCATTTGAATTTTGAAAAAAAAATCACTGATTTCTCTAGAAGTGTCCATTAGTGAAAATAAAACATTTCTAAAGAATCTTTACTTGTATGGCGTCTATAATTTAAAACTCATACTACAAATGTTCTATTAAAACTTCAATAAAACCCCTTATCTTAACGTGCAGCAATAAAAAACTGGGTACCCAGGTCATAACTCCAACCAAAAATAAATTTCGACAAGTCTGATTTACTACCCGAAACAAAAATACCATTTACGATCACCTCCATACACCTCTCATTCAAAAAACCACTCGAACGACTCCGCCGAGATCTAATTCGTCCAACCATTAACTGCAAACCCCATTAAACCGCTAATTACAACAATAAACCCGTGCACACACTCATTTAATGCCTTTTCCAGGTGACGGTTGTGTGGAGAAGCCGTTAGCGACCTTATGGCGGAACTACACGCAATCCTCCCGTCCCGACGTCCGCATGCAGTTAACAGTAAGCAGCGGCGGCCTCAAGGCGACCACCAAAGACCACGGACTCACCGAATACTGGGCGCACCGCCTCACCACCTGCGCCGCCCCCGCCCAGTTCCCCAGACTCTTCTGCTGGGTGTACCGCCACGAAGGACGCAGACTGCGCCACGAGCTGCGCTGCCACGCCGTCCTGTGCTCGTCTTCAGCGGTCGCCAAACAAATAGAAGCAGAACTGAAGCAAAGTCTAGCCCTGGCTCTGGCGGAGTTCAAGAGGGACAAACTGTCCAAGCAGAACGCGCGACTGTCGCTGGTGAACTCGGTGTACGAGAACCCCACCATCCCCAGGAGGAAGATCCTATTGAGCACGGGCTGCCACAACTACAAGCCGCCGCTGGAGCGCTCGAAGTCCGCGCCGAAGTTGACTAGCATCGAGGAGATCCTGGAGGAGGAGGAGGACGTGGTGGAGACCACCAAGTACAAGAAGATCTTGCGGCACTATGACAGCACGAGCGCGTTGTTGGACAAGCGGAAAGCCATCCTGCGGCGGCTGCAGACGTGCCCGTCGGACGTGGAGCCCGTCCTCGAGGACTGCGACGACGCTCCGGTCAAAGAAAAGGAGCAGAAGGTGAACTTCAGCGAGGACATCATCGAGCTGACGCTCGACGAGAAAAGCGACCTCATCCTCGAGGAGCTGGTGCAGAGTTCGCTCCGGAACGACCTGCTGGAGTCGTGCGAGCGGGCTTGGTTCAACGCGCTGACCGACAAGCCGGACTTGATCCCCCCGGACAGCGACGAGGGGTCGCTGTCGAGCGGCTGCGAGTCGGCCAGCACGGTCACGTCGGACTTGGACCAGCAGGTCTTTCCGACGATCGCGGAGGACCTGGAGTTCGTGGAGGAGGAGGAATCGAAGCCAAACAAGAACAAGACTGATGTAGATTTCAAAGTAGGGGGGTGCGTGCTGGCGAGGGTGCGGAGTTTCGAGAGGATCAACACGGATATTTTGAAATATTGTGGACTGAATTACGGGAGTAATGGGAGTAAGAGCATCATCGGGAGCGAGGAGGTGTCGCTGATCCCGGTGGGGGAGAGTCAGGCGGATTTTAGTTCCTTGAAGGTGTTCAAGAAGCGGAATTCGGTGGAGGCGCAGGGGAAGGAGGTGTGCGGGTGCGAGAGGGACGGGGAGGGTTCGGAGGGGGAGAACGATAGTGCGTGCAGCGACGAGAGCGGGTACGAGGAGGAGGAGATTAATAGTTCGGTGGCCAATATTGTTTTAGTGTAGGGGGGGTAAGTTATTGAGGAGTGGGGTAGGCCCTTGTAGAACTGGTTTTAGTTTACTTATTGGTAAAGTAAAAATCAAGTTGTTGATATTTTTAGGCGTAGATTGTATATAGTGTATATAGTTTACAGAATATGATGTGATTTTTGTTGTGTAATGTGTTACCAATTTTTATGGTGTATTGTTACGCTGTTGTAGATCGGGTGCACATTCTTTATTGTACCTCACTTCAGACAAAGTAATTTATATTGAACTAGTTATTGTTAAATATTTGACAATGATAATTATGTATTAAATAAACAAGTTTCCGACATGATTTCTTTTTATTTTCATTTATTTAAAAAAAAAAAAATACCAATTTATTGTGCCAAGTTTTACTGTAATTCAGAAATATGCATGTGCCGCATTGTTGTGCGCACGGATTTACTATGGAAGCAATATTTTGCCGCTTCTATACAACACTGGTCCTAATTTTCAACCTGATTTACATAAAATCGAAAAATAAAGAGCCAGAATTTTCCTCGTCCCTGAATTAAAATCAAAGAAATCCAGTTTTTTAGAGAAAAAAGATATCTTGACAGTGAAAAAAATGACCCTGGCTTTCGAGCTACAACCAACTGTCATTGTCGATTAGTCCATGTATTTTGCAAAAATTCCGGTAAAAACATTCAAGGGTAAAAATGAAGGCGGATTCATAAATCACAACTACCAGAGTAAATTGACACGACAGATAGACGGAAACCTATTTTTTCATTCTCTATGGGTCATGAAACGTCTAGAAAACAATTCTAGTGGTTATGACACACTTGCGATAACAAATAAAATCTCAAATCGACGTATCTGACGAAAAGGAAACGATTGAGTATATTTTTCACATCCTGCGTTTGTAGATTCAATAAATTCTTTGAAAAACTTCGGAAATATTATTTTTCAAGTTTGTTCTTGTGTTTTCTAGCGTTTCCGGCACCCACTGGGGCCGAAAATATCAAGGAAACCCTCAAATTTTAGCTAAAAATAATATTTTTGTTGAATTTTATTATATTTCGACGATTCTGATCGTCTGACGCACTTGCGATAAAGCAGAATCGGCTTATTTTGCGAAAAGGATACGATTGTGTATGTTTTCAACATTCTGGAGTTCGTAGATTCAAGTAATTCCTCAAAGAATTGGAGAAATGTGACTTTTCAAGCTTTTTCATGCATTTTCTGGCGATTCCGATAACCTCCTTGGCTTACGCTCGGGGAAAAAAATCTATTGTTATACCGGGTGTCTGGAAAATGGCGGATTAACTCTCTGCTACGCTCTCAACAATCTTGCCTGATATAAAAAATGTGAGGAAAAAAATGAAAGCCCGCGAAAATTTGAAAAAAAAATGACCTTGGCTGTTATCGCCTAACAAAATGGGACCCTATATTGTGTATGTTTTCTTTTTGTGGCGGAATTCAGACGCAAAGTGGTGGACCCCAAGGTTGGAAAAGTACCGTTAAATAAAACACAAAATATATGTGGAGGACACAAAATCATTCTTCTACTGACAAAAAAAAAAAAGAAAAAAAAAGTTGCGCAGGTTAAAGACCTTTTTCGTTCACAGCTACAAAAAAAACTTGCCTAAGTTTGAATGATATCAAATTAAACGTTCTGAGTAAATATAAATATTTGAATATCACAAATTTAATAAAAACAAAGAAAAATCTCAATTAAAATAACTTGATGCAAATACGCAAGTTATTACGGACGTGTGGCGCCAAATTTAAAATTATGGCAGTCAACAAGAGAACAAAATTTTAATAAAACTCTATTTAAATGGTTGTAGAAGAAAAGTGGAGGATTTAATTTTATTACTACAAAAATTTACCATTTTAGACATGTTTTAAGTTTTTTGTTGTCGAAATAAGTCTACACATACTAAGAAAAAGAAGGAAACTGTAGCCCCGCCCACCCACCCTACCGCAATTGCGACGAAGCTTAACTGCAAAATCGTTACTTCTCTAGAAGAAATTAAAAGCATGTTTTTAAGTATCGCGCTATTCAAAGAATACTATGTCTATTTAGACAAAAAATAAAGCTAAAGATTAGGCCCTACCCGTACCCACCCCGATCTCAAGTCTCAATTGTGATGAATTTTTCATTCGTTGTCAGGTCGAGGGGCGGGACTTAATTGCAAGATCCATATTTGTCTACAAGAATTTACCATTTTGAACATGTTTCAAGTTTCTTGTTATGAAAAGATGGCTATGTATATTAAGACAAAAAAGGCAAATATAAGCCCCGCCCACCCACCCTATCTCAATTGTGATGATTTTTTTTATTGTGGAGATTTTTTTTAATTTAAATGCAAAATTCTTATTATTTTTCTACAAGAAATTACCATGTAAGACATTTGTTTGAGTATCGTGTTATTCAAAGAATACTATGTCTATTAAGCAAAAATTAAAGCCCACACCTACCCTGACCTAAATAGGAATGACGATTTCATTCGTTGGCAGACCTAGGGGCGGAGCCTAATTGCAAAATCCATATTTACTTGCAAAAATTACCATTTTAAACGTATTTTAAGTTTCTAAGAATTAAAAAAATCATCACAATTGAGATTGGGTGGGTGGGTGGGGATTATATTTTGCCTTTTTTCTTAATATATATAGTTTTCTTCGAACAACACGATCTTCAAAAACATGTTTTTAATTTCTTATAGAGAAATAAGTATTTTGCAGTTACGCTCCGTCCCCTTGGTTCACGGCGAATAAAAAAAATCATCACAATTGAGACAGGGTGGGTGGGCGGGCTTATATTTTGTCTCCATAATTGCAAAATCCATATTTCCTTACAAAACCCACTTTAACCATGTTTTAAGTTTCTTGTTATGAAAAAATGGCTATGTATATTAAGAAAAAAAGTCAAAATATAAGCCCCGCCCGCCCGCCCTATCCGAATTCTGATGATTTTTTTATTCGTCGTAAGCACAGCGACAGCGGAACCAGAGCGCTATAAGAGTGTGGCTATAGGGGGCGTTGTAGCACGGGCGGAGTTTGGGGCTCCTGGTTGTGGCTGTTCTTCCACCACGACGGTGATTCTACTCTATCGGGAAGCACATACTGCCCAGCACCCCTCTAGAAACGTGCCGCGCTAGCAAAACTCAGGGGCCTTCTATTCTAGGTCTGCGTCTTTTGTGCATATGGTGCGATAAATCCCGCCAGCTCGACTAGGAACCGCGTCCTCCGCTTCTGGCACGTGTTTTTGTGTTATTTACCACAGTTCCATTTAAATGTTCAATTTCAATTACTCTGATATTAAACTACAACTGAATAAGTGTTACAGTTTCAAAAAGAGCGATAAACAACATTTAAATTCGTCTCGTGAAATTTTTAAACAACAAAAAATTCTTGTCTGAGAGATTAAGATTGGACATCAGACAATTTACATCATGGAAGCATTTACGTGGTCAGAAAAAAGTAACAAAGATTTATAAAACAAAAAAAATCTGGTGTGAAGTAAAAAATTTACGTGACGTTAGAAACTGCGGAGCATGAGAATTTACGTTCAATTTAAATTATACAGCAAAGAAAATTACTGAGGCTAAAATTGCGAGATAGAGAAAAATTGCAAAGCTAAGAAAATTACATGAGGTTAATATTTGCCACACCGTATTAACGATTCCAACAAAGAATTTACATGATCTTAAATTATGCCACACTCTATCAACGATTCAAACAAAGAATTTACATGATGTTAAATTATGCCTCACTTTATCAACGACTCAAACAAAGAATTTGCATGATGTTAAATGTTGCCTTCATCCAAGTGACTGAGAAATATGTCTCGATGATATAATAACTGCCAAAGGGGAAAAATTTACGTACCTCAGTCCACAATAGTATGAATTTTACCACACTTTCCACGGTCCTTTTCCCAGAGTGTGACAACGTTAGGTTGATTTAACTGCCGTAAATGAACTATTAGCAATCTTGTGTGAAGAATTAAGAAGTGTATAATGTAACACTAAAGTAGAAGCATCCAGAAACTTTATTTATAACTTGATAAACAAAGATATAACAAGTGTTTTATGTGAAAAAACTCATGGCTGTTAAATTGTATTAGAAACAGTTAACGATTAAAATCCTAACATGAACTGTGAATTTACAAAAAATAAACCAAATTTAACACCACGTGTTGGCGTCGGTCGAAAATTCCTATATTTCCGCTTGGAAAAATTTTCGTTAAACGTTTGGTTTCAGCAAACCAAAAACAACAGTGACGCGTCACCACTTTCTACAAAGCAAGCCAACGTCTACCAACCCCCTCACTAGATACACCCCAGAAATTCCCTAGAACAGCTACCAACTACCAGAAAAGAACTAAACTTGCACGTGGTTGCCTATGTTTAACGATTTTCTTAATGATGTTTGTTTCAAATGCAAATTATTCAAATTTGGTCACAACACAGATAAAAATTTTGACGAATCAAAAATTGTTTGTTTTCAAAATCCTACGTTTAAAATGTTAATTTTAGGTCCCCTGGTGTTTTGTTTTCGGGTAAATTTAAACGAATCTGACGTTTTCTTGCTGGATGAATTTGAAAAAATCTTTTGGGCTTTTTTTAGTGTTTTATTTTTTATAAATTTGAAAAAGTCTTGAGTGCCGCAGTGTTTTTTTTTTATTCGGGAGACTCTTGGGTACCCATGGTCTATTATTTTGGGAGCCCATGGAGATTTTTTTTTTGTAAATTATTTAAAACAATTTTGGGGGACTTTGGTGTTGTATTTTTGAAAATTTTTGACCTGACCTATTTTTGAGTTAATTTTGGGACCCTGTTTTTTTTTTGGAAAATTTAAAACAATCTTGATGTTTTAGGAAGCTCCTGTTTCGAAAGAATTTGAAATTATTTTAGCGGGTACTAGCCCCGCCCACCCACCCTCTCTTTTCTTCTAGAGTATGTTATTTGCCAAAATCGACTTATTTCAGCAGGTATCAGTGTTGCCAATTTTACTTTTATAAAATTACATTTCTTTCGTAATCTACATCATAAAGATTTTTTTGGACTCCCGAAACTCCCATACATAACGTACCTACTTAAGAGTTAATCCGCTATTTTCTGGACACCCGGTGTAATGATAAGCAGAGTGTTTAAACTTGTACGTTTTGTTAAAATTGTTCCAAAACAATTACTTACCTTGCAAATAAGTATAATAAAAACCTAAAGAATCTCTAAAATACTCAAAAACGCAGTTTCAATTTTGCCGGAAATGAAAACAACTTCTGTTGTTCATTTCTCGAGCACAAGCTAGAGACATATTGTAATAAGATCTATCTGGTGAACCATTCATTTTCATGTTTTCTAGACGTTTCATAACCCCAAAGTATGAAAAAAATAGTTGTCTCCTTTTCGTCTATTAGCGAATTAATTAGGCAAATAATTTCTGCAACTACTGGGCTGATTACCCCCAACAATCATTTGATAACGTCGTTTTAATTTTATAAAACAACATACTCATACCTACCCCACTGAATAAAGAATTATTTCATTGAAAATAAATGTTGAACTATAGAAATTACGAACACGTGTATACTTGGTTGCATAACACGGTACAAGGAACAGGAAAATCAAAAGGATCCACTATCAAGGACCAAACCACCAATAAAAATTGATTTATTTTTTATATAACTTATGTTACAATGTAAAAAGTTTAGATCCTGGAAGGATACAACATCTGCAACAAAAGAAAACCCATTAACACCTCAAAAATTCAAACCATCCAACAAATCGCACCCACAAACACTCAGTAAATCTTCACTTCAAGATACCTATACATTGTACAGTATACAAATATTCAGGTTTCAAATGTCTTCGACATCATAGCAACCCCATCCTCACCCCAACCCCGAAGCAACAAACTACTTACAATGCGAATGCGGTGTCCCATAGCCTTCGCCGGCAAATTATTCTTAAACTTGGCCCTAACAGCCCCGCTGGTGCCATGAGGTCTCGTCACTTTGCCCCAAATGGCCCTAACTTTCGACTTGACTGACTTGGGCTTGCCAGGCACACAGGTCTTATTCTTGGCTTTGTACACATAAACGCACTTCTTGCCCACGTAAAACCAGCTATCTTGTTTATCACAAGTGCCCTCGATCTTCAACAAGGCCGTATTTTCGTGCTGGTTACGAAGACCCCGCTTGTAACCTGTGAAGATGGCTTTCGCGTATAATCGACCGTGCCTTTTCCTTATCCGTTTCTTGGCGGCGACGGTCTCGGCGCCTTCTTTCGCCTTTTTCGTGGCTTTTGGTTTCTTTGCTGCTGCGTCTGCCATCGCTACAAAATAACACACATGTAAACAAGTTGAGGTTAATCGGTGGACATCGGGCCAAAAGTGACTCAATCGGGGGAAAAAACGACAGTGGATTCAACGTAGAGGGTTGCTGTGGTCAGATGTTGCGTTATTTTTGTGATAACGGGGGTTGAATTTATAAAATTTGAAGGGATGCAGATGGACAACTTACCGAAACCGAATTCTGTCAGAAAGAGTGACAGGTGAGACGTTTACGGAGTGAATGGGGAGGGCGCCAACGCGACGGCGCGAAAGTCACTAGAAGTTACTAGCTGTTACTAGTTTGATTTTGTGGTGATTCAAATCCATTCGGTTTGTTTTTTCGAACGAAAATGAAACACTCGAGGAAATATAAATATTTTACTATAATATAAATATATACAGTAGTAACACCAAATGGTAAAAATTACTAGAATATGTACATGATATCAGTCCTTTTGAAACAAGTTCTGACAGCTTGTTCTGGCATTAAAGTAATGACAGTATTTTATCACACTTATCCTGAGTTTCGCCGATGTTACACCGCACAAAAATCAAACACTCTTAACAATTTAGTTAAAGTGAAACTTGAACTGGAACGGACTGCCATGGAAATGTTGGAAATGGTGGAAGTTGGGCATTCCTCCTCGTCCAGATTCAGGATCCAGAGGGTCTTCTCCGCTATCAAATTGCCGCCTTTTCTCATCATCGGTTAGTACCTAAAACAGCACAAAAATGGTCACCAATTTCTCCAAATCAAAACGAAAATACCTCTTTTGCGGCCGCTATATCAATGAACTTCTTCTCTGCAATTTTCTTCATTTTCTCGTCCATCTGGTAATTATCTGGGTGCCACTGTTGCGCCATTTTTCTGTAAGCTTTCACAATATCCCTCTTGGAAGCTGTCCTTTTCACCCCTAATATTTTGTAATAATCGCGCCTTTCAGACTGTTTTTGCCTATTTTCAGCCTTATTCAAACCCTCCCTTGCCCTCTCAAACTGAGAATTTATCTCCAGCGCTGCTCTGAAATCTCTAATTGCGTCATCGTACATTTCTGACTGAAGGTACGCTTCCGCTCTATCACAGAAAATATTAGCATCATCATTAATGGTTAAAGCTTCAGTGCACGCATTTATGGCCTCTTCAGTCTGTTCATCGTTAGAATAACACGCACACAACAACTTCTTCGCGTTATAAATCATATTGTGTTCTTCATCTTCGTTTTTCAAAACTTTGAGAGCTGAATTGATGCACTCTTGGTAATTTTTTTCCTCTAGGGCAGTTTCAGACTCTGTTAGAAATTTTTCCACTTTTTTTACTTTCTTATAGAAAGGGAAACAATCTTTGTGTTCTGGGTCTAACTTAAGACACTCTCTGATTGCTTTGAGTGAATCTGTTGCATGTCCTAATTTGTACAATAATTGGGCTAGCTTGAAGTACCCCTCAGTGTTGTCACTTTGGAGCTTGGTGGCAACCCGAATGTCACTAATAGCGGCCAATTCATCCCCACTTGCCATGTGCATGTCTGATCGAAGCTCATATAGAATGGAAGCCCATGGACTTGTTTCAATGGCTTCTGATAGGTAGTGAATAGCGCTGACGTGGTCATCACGGGCGTAGAAGTGTTTTGCATCGGCTAGTTTTTGTTTGGCTGGCTCTATTTTAGTAATTAGGTCGTTAGCTTCCAGGTTGTATGGATCAGTTTGCAGCTGAAAGCCACAACGGTGATTTTTGAAAAATAAATTTTCGGTGATACTTACGACGTTGTAGAAATCTAGATGCGCCAGATCATAATCTGCTTGTTTTAAATGAATGATTCCTCTACTGATACGTGCTGCAGTGAAATCTGGTTTCAAATCTAGAGCTATGTCAAAGTCACTTATGGCATTTTTCGCTTTCCCTAAGGCTAAATACACCGTTCCCCGCTTAAAATAAGTTAAATAATTCCTAGGATCCCCCTCTGGAAGTGTCCAAAATTACATAAGTCACTTCTTGTGGTGGGTGTTACTTACCAACAGCCGAATGGTAGTGACTTAAGGCGTCCGCCAACTGACCTTTGGCTAGATACTGTTTACCTAATTCTAAATGCCTGCTGACTTCGGCTTGACTGACACATTCTGAAACTGAAATTTCAGTAGATATCAATCTTTGAGGTTATGTAAACCTACTGTCAATGAAAATAAATAACGCTAGATATGGAGTATATTTCAACCACAAATTTTTCCGAGTCACTTCCATAAGTCTAACCATTTGTACTGTCTGTAACATTATTAACAAATAACACTTATTTTATCAAACTCGTTCCATCTCTGACACATTCAACACAACAAATTTACGTTTCGTGGTCCGCTCTGATTGGTCCAGCGCATAGCAGGTGCGACAAACCCGCAAGCGCACCACCAACCGCGCAAATCAAAAAACCCATTCGTTCAAAATTTATTAAAAATCAAAACACAACAAATTATCACAATCACTTGTAACAATAAATACGTTATGGCTTCTCTGGTAAAAACTTATTCCTCTGCGAGTGCTTGAATCGGTGCAATTCATGCTTAAAGTAGTTGACAGTCTTATGCAGTCCGGCGTTAAGGTCCACTTTTGGCTCCCAGTTGAGATATTTTTTGGCTCGGGTGATGTCGGGGCGGCGCCTCTGGGGGTCGTCTTCGACTTGAGCCAAATGTTTAATTTTGCTGCGCCCGCCCACGAGCCCTTTAATAATGGAGGCGAATTCTAAAAGCTTGAGTTAAAACTAGAAATTTGGTTTGTATTTTTTACCAATAATGGAGTGCTCAACTGGGTTCCCCAAGTTGATTGGTTGGGTGTAGTTGCTGCCCATTAATGCCACTAAACCATCAACTAAGTCGGAAACGTACTGGAAAGAGCGAGTTTGGTCGCCTGATCCGTACACTGTGATGACGTCGTTTTGGAGGGCTTGCAGGATAAAGTTAGAGACGACTCGGCCGTCGTTCATGTGCATTCTTGGTCCATACGTATTAAATATTCGGGCGACGCGCACTTGCATGTTTTCTTGTTTGGCGTAAGCATAGGTGAGGGTTTCTGAAACCCTCTTACCTTCGTCATAACAGGCTCTGGGTCCTAAATAAGACCAGTTATTGGGTTGAGGTTAATGTACACGTTACGTACCAATGGGGTTAACGTGCCCCCAGTACGTCTCCGGTTGCGGGTGTATGTCAGGATCCCCATACACTTCTGAAGTGCTCGCTATTAAAATCCGAGCGTTCAGTCTTCGTGCGAGCCCTAACATATTAATTGTACCTAGAGTGTTGGTTTTGATGGTTTTCACAGGATTGTACATGTAATGTGGGGGGCTGGCGGGGCTAGCAAGGTGGTAAATTTCGTCAACTTCGATAAACAAAGGGTTGACTATGTCATGGTGAATTAGTTCGAAATTTTCATGACCTATCCAATGTTCGACATTGCGTTTGCGGCCTGTGAAAAAATTATCAGCTACTATAACTTCATGACCTTGCAGCATTAACCTATCTACTAGATGTGAACCTACAAAGCCAGCGCCGCCCGTTATCTAGAAATTTACACTTATTTAAAACGGCGACAAGAGTGACGAAATACCAAAATACGTTTCCTTGAGAGGTAGTTCAGAAATTTTACATCCGGGTACGACTTAGGCACCTGCGATTCTAAAGCTAGAATTTTTTTCTCGAGTTCTTGGATGCGATCAGACGCCTCTTGTAGAAGCTGCTTATTATACTCGATTTCGTCGTTAAAAACGAATTTCTTATAGAGATATTGTCCAGTTTTTTGCGCAGCATTGTGTTTGCTGTTATATTTAGCGAAAAATATCAATAGCACTGAAACAGTCGCTACATAACCTATAAAAACGCAAAAGACAACACCTTACGAATCAATAAAAATACCACAGATACGAGTACGTGTTTTATCTTCCAAGTGACTTGAATCATGTTACGCAACGATATTGCATTTTAATAAAATCCACATAGTTTTAAGTTACTTAATTGACATTACAATTACTAAAAACAAGTCTGGTGACTTTCGCGTTTCCGACGTCATTGGCAGCCGTGCCCTGTCACTATCAATCTGACAATCATCTGTCAAAGTCAGTTCTTAATGTGGTAGTGTTTATTTCTCAAGACTTAATTAATTAAACCCAACTCTGCCAAATTTAAACCGAATTTCTAGTGTTCGCAATCACGAAAATCGATAACCGCTCCATCGATAGTATAATCAACGGATGTCGTCCGACTAGTGTGTGTTAATTATTTTATTTACAAAGACGTAATTTGAAGGTTGTCTGTTTGACATATTAATTAACTCATCGTACAACAACAATATCGGATTGCTCATTATCTTTGTAAATTCCCTCGTATATCAGCGAGATAATGCTCGAAGCAATTTAAAACTAAACCCATTTCAGGGATGCTCCATTGCCAAATCAAAAAAAAATATCATTGATAAATTATGTGATAGTTCTTCGTTCTACTCCAAGTTACGCCATGGGGCCGGAGTTAATGTGCATGCTGTGTCTGCTCCAGTACGCTTCAGCCGAAATCTATGCAATTCGATTTGTAAGTTGTTTTCGAGCGAGTGGATGCCAACTGATTGTTGTGTGTTTAGGATTCGCAGCTATATTTTGAAGAGTTCGAAGACGCCCCTGCAACCTTTGGCAGAAAATTGTCAGATGGAGGTAATGTGTTAGAAATAATTTAACTGTAGTAGGTCAAGTGGCCACATATCTTATCACTTGATTTTCTAAATTTAACCTTTCTTCAGAGAACTATCGCGCCAGAAACGTGCTTTGGACCTTTGTCTTGCAGTTTTACATCATCGCTATAAACGCCAAAGTCTAAATTTATGTAATGTGTGTTGTAGCTCACATGTGTTTATTTGAAGGGGAAATTTTAAAGGCGCTCTTTATAGTGTAAACGCACTAGGTTTAATTTTATATTGTTTTAACAGCTTGTTGAGCTGAAATAGGTGACTGATTTCGTTAGTCATGGCGTCTGTTAAACTTTAGGTGCGTTTGTGGGAGGATCATACAGTTGTTATATTATTTTACATTACAATTTAGTTTTGAATGCGTGTTTTTTTTTACAATCTAATATGTAAATATTTTGCTCTTGATAAGATTATTTATCTAAGACTTAGGTACTCGGTATTGTTTTTTACGGACGCAGATAAGAAAATAATCACCCATATTTTTTAAAGGAAGACGCTTAGAAATAACGCGAATTTTTTGTTGTTTTTTTTAGCGATAGTGTTTTATTTCCGTAGAAATTTGTTATCTGAATAATACAAATTTATTGAGATTTTATTATTCAAAGCCGAATAAATTCACGTCACATTATTATCGTCATGCATTGCAGCTGCGTGTTGTCCAGGTTTGCAGTTCATGGGTAATTTACGTTATCAGAATAAATATGCAAAATAAACGAACTTTCTACATACAACAACAAATTCGTCAAAATTTGTTTGCTTTTGGGTATTAAATAAGCGTTACGGTGTTTAATGTGTTAGCAACGGGACCTCGCTGGTGCTCCGATATGATGTCGCGCCAGACGAAATTCCAGCCGTCTGAGGGTTGATTATCGTCGGTTAATATAAACATTCGATAAGGTGCAAGGGAAGCAGTGAAGGGGGCAGTCTGTTCTTTCTTCTTGAGGAATAAAGACGTATTTTGATTGTGCTCTCGCGTTTCCTTTTCCCTGTGTAATTTTGGGGATTTGATATCATTTGATATTAGTTCAGAAGTGGGATTGTGCCACGTGCAGTGTAGTGATAACTGCAAGAGTACAGTGCGATACCTTTGTAAAAACAACAGGAGGATGGGCCGGAATAGAAAACGACGTGAGCCTTCGACCTCCTCAAGTGACGAAGAACGACATCAACGTGAAGGATGTTCTTCTAAACGTTCCCGGGAAAAGTATCCCAGTGAGAGAACTCGTCGGAGCTCGGAGACGCGACGTGCGAAAGGAGGATCCGGTGAGCGTATCGAACGTCTGGAACGACTGGTGGAAAAATTGGTCCGGGAAAGATCTACGGAAACAGGGACAAGCACGGGTCTGGGTAACCAGATCAAGTACATTACGAGAACTGACTGTATCCCGGAATTTGTTCCGGGCAACCCGAATATGTCGATTACCCGCTGGCTGTTCAAGATCGACCAGTTAGGGGAGGTCCACGGTTGGGATGACGTAGAAAAGGCGTACCACATGCAGAATGGACTCCGTGGCTTAGCCAAAAGTTGGTACAATAGCCTCAGCCATATTAATTATCCGTGGGCTGAGTGGAAAAATCTTTTAATGAAAGCTTTTCCCGAGCACACTGATTATGCGTCCTCGTTGCATAAGATGCTGAAACGGATAAAGGACCCTAACGAAACCATGGCAACGTACTATTACAATAAAATGGAGTTGTTGCAAGTTTGCCGTATTTCGGGAAAGGACGCTGTTTCTTGCGTCATAGACGGTTTGGCGAACGTAAGTTTGCAAAATGGGGCACGAGCGGGCAGATATGATTCACCAGAAGCCTTATATGAAGAATATCTGTCTCGAGTGCAAGACGAAACAGACGAAAGTAAACGAGAGAAACACAAAATGCATTGGCTGAGAAAGGAGAGTCGTGTAGACCGGAATAGGTACTTCCGAGGGGAACGTCCCCAAACGAGCGGCTCTGATCTTAACTCTAGGAAGGGGTTAAAATGTTATAATTGTCATGGCGTAGGTCATATGGCGGCAATGTGTCCGAAACCCAAGATAGTGTGCAAACGTTGCACTCGTTTAGGGCATACGGCCGAAAATTGTACAAAGAGTATTAAAGGGAAAGAGGTGTTGACCACGCAAAGTGACAAATGTGGCCAACGTGTGTATTTTGTGGACTGCGAAATGAATGGTTGTCCGACACGGGGTTATGTCGATTCCGGGAGTTCGGCGATAACAGTACAAGCTCGCACAGCTGACGAGGCTAAGATTGTGTATAAACCGTCCCGGGCGATGATAAGAGGGTTCGCCGGCGGAGTGTCACCGGTAATCGGAGAAGCCAGTGCTACACTTCAAGTAGGGGATGTGAAGGTCGACGTCCCTGTCTTCATTATTGCCGATGACCTACAAACAATACCGGTCATAATTGGACAGCCATTTGTGAATCATCCAGATGTCCTGTTGGTGATTAATGGCGACAAATTGTGGGTGTCGAAGAAATACGATCTACCGGCTCTTGAAGGGGTCGAACCGACGAAAGTCGCCGTATGGGCGAAGGAGGCTACTGTGATCCCGCCGCAACATGTTGGACATGTCGAGGTGGAAACATCATACACCGGTACCATCTACGTGGACCTGACGTCGAGGCAGTACGAGCGACATAACCACGTCATCCCCAGGTGTGTTTTTGGCGGCCTCCAGGGTGTCCTGCCTGTCATGAATTTCAGCACGGAGGAACTGCATTACCGGAAGGGACAAACAATCGTTCGTGGACAAAAATGCTACGAGGAACCGGTAAAAGACAGCGATCCTGTAAGTAATTTCATTTTGGCAACTCAGATTTCTCGCACTCCATTTACATTGCAGGATGTCAGTGTGGATCCAGGGACCCCGAGTAATGTAACAGAAAGTCTGTTACAATTACTGAACAAATATCGAGATTGTTTTGCGAAAAATCTGAACGAACTGGGAAAAACAAATTTAACCGACATGTCTATTAAATTAACCACGGACGAACCGGTAACGTACAGGCCATATCGGCTTGCTTACGCTGAACGAGTTAAAGTACGCGAAATCGTAAACGAATTAAAAGAAAACGATATCGTTCGCGATTCGCATTCGCCATACGCGAGCCCCATTCTGTTAGTTAAAAAGAAAACAGGGGAGCAACGACTGTGTATCGATTATCGCGCTTTAAATAAAATCACTGCAAAAGATAAGTACCCAATTCCACGTGTAGACGATCAGCTGGATCGGTTGTACGGCGCTGCATATTTTTCTAGTTTAGATTTAATGTCTGGGTACTATCAAGTAGGCATGAACGAAGAATCGATTCCAAAAACTGCTTTCATAACACCGGATGGACATTTTGAATTCTTGCGTATGCCGTTTGGATTAGTAAACGCTCCTGCGGTATTTCAACGTCTCGTTAATCAAGTTTTAGGAAATTTGCGCTTTGAAAATGTTCTCGCATATATGGATGACATTTTGTTACCTGCGACTGATTACGAATCCGGCTTGCGAATGCTCGAGAAAGTTCTGCAGAGCTTCCGTGCATCACATTTAACGTTGCGATTGAGTAAATGCCATTTTTTCCAAAAGCAATTGGAATATTTGGGACATGAAATAACGAAAGACGGGGTACGACCAGGCAATAACAAAATAATGGCGGTGCAAAGTTTTAAAACACCCGAAACAGTACGTGAAGTCCGTCAGTTCATCGGTCTTGCGAGTTATTTTAGAAAATTTATACGTGATTTTGCCACCATAGCGAAACCATTGACTGCGTTAACGCGAAAGGGGACAGACTTTGTCTGGCAAGATGAACAAGTGAAAGCTTTCGAAATATTAAAGGCCAAATTAACGGAACGGCCACTCTTAGCGCTATATGACGTTAATGCGGAAACCGAAGTTCACACAGACGCTAGCAAGTTGGGGTTGGGCGGTATTTTAATGCAGAAACAAATAAATGGCCGTTGGCAACCTGTTATGTACTTTAGTACGCAGACAACTAAGGAGGAACAGCGGTATCACTCGTATGAGTTAGAAACTCTCGCAGTTGTTCAAGCTCTAAAGCGATTTCGTCCTTATTTATTCGGAAAAGAATTTCGGGTGGTTACAGATTGCAATGCATTGCGAACGGCGTTCACGAAACGGGATATTTTACCACGAGTTGGACGGTGGTGGTTAATGATGCAAGAGTACGACTTTACGGTAGTTTATAGGCCGGGCAGCGGAATGAGTCATGTTGATGCGCTAAGTCGAAATCCGGTGGAAGCTCCAATAAGTTTTGACGAACTAGATTTATTAACAATAAGCCTAACTGAAGACGATTGGGTGCTTACCGCACAATTGCAAGACGATCGTATTGCGTATTTACATGAAGTTCTGTCTCGAAATCCTGCGGACCGTGATGAGAAAAACATCCATACGGAGTATAAATTACAAAATAATAGAGTTTTTCGGAAAACCGAGGACGGATTACGATGGGTCGTTCCTAAAACAGCTCGACGGCAACTAACGATGCTTTGTCACGACGAAAAAGGGCATTTTTCCGTCGATAAAACATTTAGTTTAATGAAACAAAATTACTGGTTTCCGTCAATGCGACAATATGTAAAGCGGTATATTTCAAGTTGTTTAGGATGTCTGTTTAATAAAGCTCCTGCGGGAAAACAACCTGGTTTCTTACATCCAATAGAAAAAGTCCCAGAGCCTATGAATACTATACATTTGGACCATTTAGGTCCGTTCGTTAAGAGTAAGCGTAAAAACACACATTTATTAGTAGCTGTAGATGCGTTTACGAAATTCGTAATTATGAAAGCTGTGCCTAATACGAAAGGGGTGCATGTCGAAAACTTTTTGCGAAATAAAATCATCGAAGCTTTCGGTGTTCCAAAGCGGATAATTACCGATCGTGGCACGTGCTTTACTAGCAAAAAGTTCACTCAGTTATGTAAAACACTCGGTGTTAAAGTAGTACTTA